AAAAAACAGTTCAGTCAAAGCGAAACCAGAAAATCTTTCAGTTAAGTGGGTCCCTTTCATTCTTATGGATGTGAAAAAACCACCTCAGTGTCATCGTTGGTTCCCATTCGCAGCAGTTTAATAGCGTCTAAAGTCACTAGATAACACTACCTCTATGACGCTGACTAAAGAGTTTTGATGAACTCGCAGATTTATTTCATATCATAGCGCCATGTCACAAGCTGATTGCTTTTTCTTTCCCGTCTTAGCGTTGGAAAATCATGAACGATTCAGGTGTCGTTAGGACGACATTCGTAACATACCTCAAGGCACTGAAATCGGCACTGCAATGTGGTGATACCTATTGAGTTATCATCTCTGTGTAAGAATATAGATTGCCGAAACCCCACATTACTGGGGGTGTTTCCAGTGGGTAGTAGCAGTTTTTCGGAAACAAAAATGATCTGACACCATGCATCACCAAATACCTTCAACTCATGGAGGAAAGGTTTCGCAAGTATATACTAAAACGGCTCTCGCTGACGCTTTGTTAGTTCGGTCTTTCGCAGTTACACTGACATCACGACTTCTCTAAAGATGGCCAAGATTGTCATGATCCTCTGGTTTTTTTCATATACAGATCTCATCAAACACCATTTGTATACACATATATATATATATATATATATATATATATATATATATATATAATGTATATACATACCCGTAACAGCATACACAACTACCCAGATGCATAAACTTTCGAATGCTAAAGGTTCACTACCAAGAGTGAATACAACACACAGGCTCCTACTAATCAAAACACCCAGCTCAGAAAACGAAAGTCCATCTACCAGACTTGTAGAAGTACTAGATATTTAAAGGACGCAAAGTAAACGTCTTCGAAATATTGCTCCTGTATACTTGGACCACTGAGTAAGCAATCCATAGATTAGGAATCGTGTATTAGGTAAGGATGGTAAATCGATTGATGAAGTAATGAATCTTTATCAGGTAAGGTGGTTAAAACATGCGTTCTGTATGCCAAACATTTACCTTCCTCGACGAGCAATGCTGTCTGGTTTAGGAGTAGGCTGAAAAAAAGCTGGGGGCTGTCAAACCAATCCAGTCAATGGACTCATTGATAATCGTATTAGATTACCTGGCTAGGGTCCGTGTGATATTAGTTACCAGAGATCAGAGACTAGATGGCATGACTTAAAATAATCTGCGATGGCGCAGATGCATCTATTCCTCGTCTTCCGCCAAATTCTAAGCTTCTGAATTCCCCATAACTTTTGAAAAATTTATTTCACTGATTTGTATTTCCTTGATTTTTATTTTCGATCCCTAATTTTATCCATTACCTTCAATCCTGTTACTATCTCTACCATTCTGGTATTTGCCCTCAAAATTTAATCTGTGTGTGCTAATGGGATATGGCGACTTGAACTGATGTACTCATTTACCAAGTCCTATGTTACAACTGAATTACAATAACTGCCAACTTATTCAGTGTTGATTGCATAACTGCAGTATCATCTTGCGGTAAGACAATATCTTTCGCATACTCATAATCGAATAAGTTTACTCGAAGTAAGAGATCCAACCCACTGCTACCTATCTTCACCAGGCTTGTTTCCAAAACGTCATCTATGGCAAAATTGCACCGCTAAAATGGAACAATTGGGAGAGGTGGTTGTATATCCTGGCTTTACCTGGGATTTTTCTATACACAGCGTTCAAAATGTTGGTCAATACACATAAGCAAACTCCCCGAAAACAGTTCTGTCCAACAAACTAAAGGTGGCTCTCATCAATAAACGCAACTATTGATGATCTCCAATAAATGCGTCAACGGTATGAAATTTAGTGTGAAGATACGATCAAAAACGAGGCGGTAGATACTCGGAAACTATTCTAATCAGCCCAAAAACAGAGAATCAAACGAAACATAAACGTAGACTAATAACATACATCAGTCAGTCAGCCGCAACGTAGAACTTCATATGTACATACATCAGTTCAAGTCGCCATACCACATTGGCACACAGAAATGGATTTATCAATTCAAATCTCATAGTCACTTATGAAGTAGAAGTATTAGCGCTAATGGAGAAGATTAGGGTTTGAAGAAATTATTCAAGAAGTATAATCCGGTGAAATAAATTTAAAAAGACAAAGTTGATGGGGAATTCAAAAGATTAGGATATACGAGAACACAAAGAACGGATGCACCTGCGCGATTGCAATCGGTTTTGAGCCATCAGTCAGTCAGTCAGTTGCAACTGACTGAGCCATGTCATTTAAGGTCTCTAACCAACGGTTACTAGTGGTTGGCCATACATAACACATGTCACAACCACCTCAGCTGATGGAAACTCGTCATTTGGTTAGCAGACGGATGTCTCCAATACGCCATAAGTGACGCAAGTTGGCAAAAGCCAGTCGAGCCTTTTGTATCCGTGCTGAGATTTTTCCAGTCGCCAAACCATCAGCACTGATGAGACAGAATCTCGAGATGAGTGAAGAGGTCAACACGATTAACTACTTCACTCCCTATCACTAGTTCAGGTGCTGATTCAATCCAATCCTGAAGTAACATTTTGCATTTCGACAATGAAAACCGCATCCAGAAAATGCTTGTAATGTTGCTTAAGGTGGTCCGAAGACTGCATTTTGTCATCGTCTTCAGAAAATAACGCTATGTTATCTACATATTGTAAGTCAACAAGCGAATCTCCTGACAGGTCCACCCGTGAAAAGTTAGATGATGAAAGTGTCGTATCTAGAAGCATGTCATTGACAAAGAAATGAAGAGGGAGGACAATGCTGACGAACACCACTCGAGGTAATTAGTGATATATGCCATTAAGGTAAACCAAAAGGTTAGGGATAAGCAGTGGATTTCAGTAACATCTTCTGAAACTGATCCCTTCTAGCTGTGAACACAGTGAGGAACAAAGGAAGCTAAAAGACAACTGGTAAAACGTGTACGCAATGACCGTGAATAGTGGTGGGTAGCGAAGGCAGCAGACAGCTGTTCAGACTAATCAAGGAGACTGGTATTGAGAATGCGACTGCTATCGAAACTATCTCGTAAAAGAATGGGACTATGATTCACTGTCAATCCAGGAGATTGGACGAAGAGGCAGAACATTTTAAGAAGCAGTTTAAGTGGCTTTCGGTCACACTTCATTTATCCACCATCTGCAGTCAACGTGAATGGCATGTTAATGTGAGTCCCCTAACTCTCAATGAGGTTTGAAAAGGCTATAAACAGTGTAAGGTGATGGAGAGCAACAAGACCTAATATATTAAGCTCTGAGATTTGTGAAGATGTTAGATCAGATTTGCCGGTCAAGTTGAGTGAGACCTTAACTAGAATCTGGGAACTGGAAGTAATCCTATCTGACTGGTCTTCCATCGCCTTTGGTTAGAGACCTCAAATGACATGGCTCAGAATCACTTGCATTGGTGCAGGTGCATCCGTTCTTTGTGTTCTCGTATATCCTAATCTTTTGAATTCCCCATCAACTTTGTCTTTTTAAATTTATTTCACCGGATTATACTTCTTGAATAATTTCTTCAAACCCTAATCTTCTCCATTAGCGCTAATACTTCTACTTCATAAGTGACTATGAGATTTGAATTGATAAATCCATTTCTGTGTGCCAATGTGGTATGGCGACTTGAACTGATGTATGTACGCTAATGTTTTTTTCTGTTTGCTTAGTCTTTGAAAGGCATGAGGTCTCGGATTCCAGATATTCTTTATTTGTAAGAATACTTTTTTGCCTTACCGATTTGTACCTTCATTTCTGCACCAGACCGTGCCCATTTGTGAATGATATTCCTCAGCTGCATGTGGATTTTCAACTCTTCTGGAGTTTTGCTATCAGGTGTAATTTAGCTGCTGCTTGTTATGTAGTATTTTAGGATCTGTTTTTCCTTTTGTTAATATTGAAAGTTACTTCTGTAGAAGCTGCAGCTACAGTAGCTTTTTCAGAACGGTTTTTATTTATTTTAAGGCTAATTTATCTGCTAATTCCAAATCGTCCAGTCACGTATCAGGTATTTACAGTATTCCGTGCTTTTTCTTAGGTGTGGAGATCATTATACAGTTGAAGGAAAATAATATGCGACAGTATGCAGTTTTATCTGATACCGTACTTCACATGAGGTGCATCTTTAAGCCGTCTTCCACGCACAACTTCGCAATTCAGTTTGTCGCAAGAGTAGCGTATATTGAGTGACGAACTTTCTGGTACTTCTTAGTGTCGAAGACCAAGGAATTCGATGCATTGCGATGAGTCTCATTCAACTAACTGTCAATTAGTGAACTTCAGTGTTGCGATTTGTAAGGTACATGATCTGTTTTTGTGAAAACCGACTCGTTGGTCTCTGATTTGAACAACTATCTAATCTTTTATTCAGTTCAGCAGCACTTGAAACCTTTGCTTGGTACTGATAGTATTATGATTCCTTTGTTTTTCTTAGACTTACTAAGATCTGCTTTCTGTGATATCTTGAAGCATTCTTGTCAGCACTTTAGTATTTGTTCTTCCCCTCATATCTTTCCTGATGGAGCGTGGGATCTCTGCAGTTACTTTAGCACTTCAACTCGTCAGTTGTTTGATCCTTACGTACGAAGTTCTACGTTGTAACTGACTGACTAACTATTTGATTCTGATGCTTTGCAATTTGTTTGATGGTATTACCAGTTTCTTCTATTGTTGGTGAGGTAACATTTATAGGCAGGAATCTATTCACCGCTTCGATGTCCGATGGTCTCAGTAGACTTGGCTTATTCAAGAACTCTTCAGATTAGATGCCTTTGAATCAGTCACATGGCTCAACGTAATCACTACTTCCTCATAGATTCCCACCTGTTTATATGTATGTCGTTATTTATTTAGGTATCTTTTATGTATTTATGTGTCTTAAGTATCTTTTTACATTGTCACATTACTGTTTGTAAATAAACAACTTTATGACTTTCCAAATCTTTACTGATATTTTCACTGCAATTTATTTCAAATCTTACAGAATTTCGGTTTTACTCAAGAAGATATAGGATTAGAAAAGTTTAAGGAGCTGAGTGATCTGGTATCATCTACACAACGAGGAGAGTTAGACCCAGCGAGAAAGTAATTAAATTAGCTTAAATAACCATTTTTACACGAGAAATTATTTACTTATATTTGATCTTTACTTATTTCTGATTATTAAATACAAGAACCTTAATTTGAGTCTGAACGACTTATCAGACTCTTTTTATCAAACCTAATTATTATTCGGCATCTGTCGGAAGTAACTGAATACAAATCAATTCTAAGTTAACTCCTAGACTACTGAACACAGTTTTTGCTTGGCCAAATTCAGAACGAGCAAGTTATTTGGCTTCATAAACTTTACCTGTTTCGAACAGTAAATAAACGAGAGGGAAACAAAGAGTCGTCAAATTCAATATCGTTTATGACAAACATAAAACATTATGATTGGTGGTTAAGTAAGGCATAGTTACACAAGGTCAAAGAGAGTCAACTCAGTGTTTGACTGTTAATACTATCATTGATGAACTCGCTTATTGATCACACATTGTAGCATCTTCAAGATCCTTTTAGTAGCAAATAATTTTTAAGTCACATAATGCCATATTTATTTGACTACATTGATACTTTCAAGATAAGGAATATGATAAACTAACACTTGACTTCTTTTTTGACATTGATCCGTATTCTTCCAAAATCAGAAATCTGTCTATAGATCGTATTCAGAGTTGTCGACTAAGGCACAACTTTAGTTCTTATGCATTGTCTATCAATCTGATTGTTATATTGAAGGAAGTATCAGTATATTCTAAAGGTCTATGTTTGTTCACTGAATACTGAAACAGTCTCGCTTCGTCAATTAAGATCCTGGTTAGTGATAATAATAAAACCTTCACATATTGGTCAACGATATTTCCTATGCGGTGGTCGCTATTAATTGTATTATTTTTAACTTTGTTACTAACAGTATAATCAAATACAAGATATTCACCTCACGTCACTTAACTAGTATAATAGGTGTAAGCGATTTGTTGTTGCTGTATCTGGTAAGTTGACAGGAGTTTCTGACGGCTTTGCCGATTTGAATGTGACATCAAGTCTGAAAGTAAACTAGAAAAGCGTGTGGGTATTTCGGGCCCCAGAATTAACAACTATATGATAGTGACCGATTCTAATATTATGCTCAGACAAGCACTTATTCCTAGATAGCACAAAATTCAGGAAGAGATGGAGACGTTGTTAACATTGTTATTCAACCAAAGCATAAGAGGTGAAAAAGACGGACGCTAAGTAACACCATACAATCGTTCCTATTCTTAGAGAAAACGGGTATGTAAGAGTCATCTGGTCTTTTTAGATGGTGGACTAGGTGTTGCACTTTAGTTAACTGAAACGCCAACTAGGGTTTGCGAACTGGACGTAATCTGACTGTTTTAAGGCTTTTTTTTGCTTGGAAACTATTGTAGGTTACTAGTTTTTGGTCGTAGATGCTTATGAAGTATCACCGGTATCTTTTGCGATCACTGAGTGAGGAATGTTAAGGTTAGACGTAGGGTACTAATAATGAATGGCGAATGGGTTGATAAGGCTGCAAACGCTCATGGATTGACATGTTTAGGACATAGATTACAATGTATGCCTAACCACGACGTACCCTGATGTGAAATGTCAGTGATGTAGAAGTAGGTTGAAAGAAAGTTAGAGGCAAATGAACCAAAATGTGTCACCAGTCTTTGAACTTGTTGACTATTGGTTTGTGAACATGCTGATAAATGCAGAATACCTGGTTAGGAACCTATACGGTTAACCTGATTAGTGGTTGAAAACGTTGGGCAACATTGCTCAGATTTAGTCATTGGCTTAAGTTTCATTATTCCTGCATGCATAACTTTTCATTTCTTCTTTTCTCGAGCTATATTTTCAATGTCTGGTTGTTATTATAGTTACAGCAATATTCCAACACGTTTTCCCATTAATCTGTTTTATGCTCTATGCTGTATGCTGATTCAGTGGCTAACATAGTTGTTTGTTTTGGAAATTTGTCGATAACTAACGACATTATTAGCTCAAGATTCACAATTTTTATTTGCTCGTGGTTCAACAATAAAAAGTGTTACAGGACAGTCTACATATCTATTCTAGAAACTATTTAATCAATCTATTGAGTGTATAAATAACTTCGTTTCATTTAATAATACCTTTTATATTCCGTCGCATAAATGATGATGAGCCACATACATTTCAACTCACTTCAATTTATTTTACTTTTTATTCATGATATACATACGTACAATTTTATGTAAATATCGTATAAAATATTCTCAGCATAAATAATTAGTGCATTGATTGTTTTATTTTACAGATGGCTATCAAATAATCGAGAAGAATTAGGAGATAAGGCAAAGCAGTTAGAATATTGTTTAGCCAAACTTGATTTTTTGTCTACAATACAAAGAGAACCGGTGGATCCAGCTTCTGTCATTCAGAGTGCTCGAAAACTGGTACCTTTTGCATCGGATTACTCGTCAGGTATTTGAAAAAAAATCTTTCATTATCATATGTTTCATTTCATTGAAGTATTTTGTTGAAATGAAAAAAGTAAGGATTAATACAGTCAATATCCTGTTTCTTTCTATACTTTATCGCATTATCTTACTGTTCTGATAATAAGTCTTTTTTTCTCATTGACAAATTAATCATTAGAGTGGAAAATAATGCTAAATGCCTAATTGTATTCTTAATTTCTTTTCATGGTCATATCGTTTAATTAGCGTTTTGATTTTAAAATATCAACTGTACTCACGTGAAACTCAGTTGGTTAAAATGTATAAATGTGATTATCCTGAAAAAAAATACAACGTGCTTTTAATTATTTAAAGCTTTGTAGACGAATTATTACAAGAATCTTGATGGTGTGTCAAATCCACACTAGTATTCAGCGATCAACGGAATTTGCTTGAAATATTATCTTTCAAATGATGATGCCCGTAGCAAATTTTAAATCTTTGTCAATCCGTTTTCTTTTCATTTAAATAACTACCAAACATCACAGCAATTTACACAATTTATGTGGTTACTCTTGTTTTATATATACTAATGTATACTTGTAAGTTACAGAGGACATACTCGGTCTCACAACTCAGCTGGTTAAGGCGAATGTGTGTATGACAGTGAGCTACAGTTCCCTCGATAAAGCATTTCTCTTTAGAAATGTTAATTCATAATTTTAGATAAAGTCAAGTTATTTTGAGTTGATTGTTTGAAAGGATGACAATCAATTATTTTTTCTAAGCTACATTATCATGACCACATGTGCTGAGATAATAATACCAATCATATCTAATGGTTCTCCATTCCCATAAATTTAAGTATTTAGACTAATAATCGCTGTGGCTGTTTATAAATTCAAAAAAAATTATTAAGCCTATATCAAATTAAGATTTAGTTTTTGATATCGTCATTTTTTTTAACGAAACACTGTCGTTGCTATCGTATTGTGTAGGTAACATTACTACCATACAAATAATCTTAATCGATTAACAGAAAGCTTGTAGATGTTATATATGTGTATTGTGAATTGAACAATATACTTTGCTCATATTTGTTCAGAGCACAGTCTACTTATTCTTCATTTTGTATCTTAATCTCGCAAAATTTATTTAAATATCTTTTCGAAATGATTTCAAAGAACAAACTGGAATGATTGTAGGTAGCCTTACAATCCGGTTATATGTGATTAATTGTTATCAATTATTGTTTACATATGTTTTGTTTAGACGTTTCATTAACGATTCGTTTGTGACTCACGTTTTATGAAGTTGGATGTAAACTTAATCCAGTTTAAATATCGTTTGATGTTTAGCTTATTTTAGACTTATTATCGTTATTGTTATTATTATCAGCTGTAAAAATAATCCTCACAGATATTCGTGAAAGTTTGTGAAATGGTGTAACTAACCATAAATAACCGGATATAAGTACGCCATTTGTATGATTATTCGATATATTTATATGAATATTTGAAGTATTCGAATTGTTGCATAAAACCTTGCTTACATTTTTTCATCTTTTTATTTCAAATAGTTTAAAGTTATTTCACTTCTCATTAACTCATTCTATTCATAGTCGCAAAACGATTTATGCATTACTTATTTCGTTTATAGATTTCGAACATCTTATGGGTAGTTTGGTTTTTATTGGACGCAGCTTAGAGAATACTCCATATGCTGACTTGGCCCTTCCAACTAGTTCGACGAAAGTGTCTCCTGAAAGTTCTCAAGTGGTCACAACTCCTGAAGATGTTTTAATGACGGATGATGAATATCCCCTCTCAATATCACCAGCAACATCTAAACCGAAAACAGATGGTAACAATGCTTTGACAGAAGCAGCGAATTTATTTAAGTCATGTTGTTGTTATCATCTAAACTTATCAGACACTGATCCACTACTCACTGCATTTTCCTGTGGATGTCGTGTACTTACTCGACTTCATTCGTTACAACGTGCAATCGCTTGCCTTAGTAAATATAGTTCACTGGATGGTGACATGTTACCAGTGAGTTTGCATATAATGTTTATATTATGTAATTTTGTAGTGATTTTATATCTAGCACTTTGATGAAACGGTTAATATGCAGATGCTACCGAAATTTCTTTTAAAAAAAGCAATGTTTCAGAATAGGTTCGAAAAGTTAGCCTTTGGAATTGTTACTATTAAGGTACAACTGATTGCTTGTATACTTCTGCATCATCAGTAAACGGTCAGTACCATAGTTGACTAATGTTCTAACTCTAATTTAATTATCATGTTCTTACTTTAAGGAACATTGATACTAGATATGTTTACTTAATGTAATGATCTTCGAATCAAATTGTCAAACATTTCAATGAATTTTCCTATCTGTTTTGCATTCAAGCTTGTTTGTATCATCTTAACGTTAATTACTTAGTTGTTTCAACTAGTATGATCAGGCTTCATGTACACTTTGATCATTATCCGTTATTTGCCTGTATACTAAGCCTCCTTAGTTGAAATATTAAGAATGAAGCGATATAGTTGTTGCTAATTTTTCTACCATCTTCACTACTACGGGATTTGAACTAACAGTTGCCTCTCTGTGCTAATGCGGTATGGCAACCTGAACTGATGTACGCACTTACAAAGTTCTACGTTGTAACTGACTGACTGACTGATCGTTCTGATATGTAATTAATTATTGTGGTTTATTTTTATTTTGTCTTATGAAAAATAACGTAGTTTTTCGTCGATCGTTTGTTTTCGTTGTGAATATTAAAAATTGAGCTTTTCTTCTGTTATATAGGTCAGTAAAATTCTTAGATTTATTGTTATCACGTTTATTTCAGTCACATTGTGCTTTAAAAAAATAAATTCAATCATAGGAATTATTCACCTGGGATTAAAACGTTTACAATTTTATCAGCTGGTTTTCATTTAGAATAAAACTGGATGTTAATCTCTTTGTTTACGGAATTTTTATTTAAGAAAACATGCGAAATGATTGGTTTTCATCAATCTGTAATTGGGCAATATAACATTGTGTCATTCTAACCCAAACTTTGCGTTTTTTAATCTTATTCCTAAACCGCACTATTTATTAAAAAAGGAAAAATATTTACGTTTTTTGTATGAAAATATATGTGCTATGTATTATAGGAAACATTGTAAAACATTTTCACTGCGTTTTAATTAGTTGACGTACCATGTTCTTCTTGTCATAGATCGCTGTTAAGCTGGATCCTAGTGCACATCGTCATAATATCTTCCACTGCCCTGTTATCAAGGAAGTAATCTCTGAGTCGAATGACGGGAGTACTGGAGGCGGCCCTGTACGCTTAACATGTGGTCATGCTATATCACGAGATGCATTCAACTCATTGGCTAGTGGAGATCGAAGGTAAAGAAATTTCATTTTTCCTTTTGTAATCTATACCTATGCTTTTAAAAGTTGAATCAAAATAATCGTTTTAAAATCTAATATATCACTATTATAGTGGGGTTTCGTTCTCTGAGCTTTATAGTTTGGTTGTGGAGCTTTCATTGTTCTTCCGAACGTTTAAACTTGCAAATATACTCGGATGAGTTGATAAAAGATCTCAAACCTTTGTTTTTTCTTTATCGGATGTAGTCTTCTAGATTTAACTATCGCAACTGGAAGTCACCCGATCGTAGCTGCCACCTTGACGTGGTGGTCGAGCTTACCTATCTTGATGACCCGACCATGTTACTTTGAGTCCTACCATGCAAGGCAAGTCAGTTGGAGAACGGTAAGGCTAAAAGCAGCAACTTAGAGTCTTAGTGCGAAGTCGTACTGTTGATTTCAGAGTTGTAACAGCAGTAAGGTTTTTCCCTCGAATAACCAACATCTGCAGCGATGCCGCCTTCTAACAATCAGAAGAACAGGGTTAGAAAATGTCAATTCTAAAAATGTCACACATCACCTAACTAACGGATTTCCATCTGCAGTAGTAGAGCTTTTTGAAGAGCGGTGCTGATGCTTCCAAAGAATTCTGTGCATGAATGGCCTCTAGCAGTTGTTCCTTGAGCTCTGCGATCATGCTTCCAGGTCTCTAATGTCAGCGCCTACCAAACATATTTTCCAGATCTTTCAAAAAATACTCTTATACGGTGTGGGCAACCGGGAAGTGACATCCGCCCTCAGACCCGTCACAACACATGGGTTCGACCTGTTTTTAATGAAATCCTTCACCCACTTTTGAATTACTCTCTTGTCTCCATGACCTAACTCTTATCGAATATCTTTATCACATTGCTCCGCCAATGCTAACGATTTGAGTACACGAAATGTTATTCCTGGTATCCTGAAACCCTACCCTAAACTACATGTTGGAGCTTTTAAGGTCCGGTTTTTGTGCCGAAATGCGCATACAGGATCCGAGTAGAATCATTAATTTGACCTCACCATGTCAAAATAAAGAACTAACTGGAGTTACTCTTCATGTATCTGGAACCCCTGCTGCTGTTGCTCCCCATGGACTCACTGGTGTAATCATAGCATTGAATCCTAGGGCAGAACTAGCTTTCTTAGACTAGATTCCGATAGACAGTCGTTTGTGTGCTCTCCGACCGAACGAGACAGTAAGAATTCGGAAAGATAAGTATACTCACCGTTGCCTTTTCGTTTTCTCTCCCTACCCTCCCACTGATTGCAATTCAGATGAGGTAAAAGATGAATTTTACGGAAAGCATTACCACCTTCATCAAAACGCTAAGTGCTCTGAGTCAGTAATAGTGGCGAGTGATTTTCATGCTCACATAGGTAGATTCAATGAAACCGAAAGACAGCTGGGGTGATCTTATTTTATCGTAACTCTGAGGACGGATAATAACAGTAGTCTGCTGCAGCTGTGGTCGGGTAGCCGCCTATTTCTAGGAAATACCAACTGTAAACATAAGAAAAACATCTTTTGATATTGTGATCCCCAAAGTAAACTTAACGCTGAGCCCAACTAGAACACATCGCTATCGACCACCAGTGGTAAGGCTCAATTGACAACTGCCGTTCATTCTGGTGCACATGTTTAGATTCAGATCATGCTCTAGTACGAGAACGTATTTGTCTGCGGCTTATTGTCCATAAAAAAGAAACATTTTTTCAGTCCTACCTATTGATACATAATACAGAAGTACATTTCGAGAGCGACTAGAAAAACAGTTCGACAACCATGTAAATGATGCTCACTCCGAGGTAGCTTGGAATAATATTCAAAAAGCTCTGGGAACAGAAGTGATATCTGCTAGTAAGGTAAACCAAAACGTCAGAGAGTAGCAGTGGATTTCAGTAACATCTTCTGAAACTGATCCCTTCTAGCTGTGAACACAATGAGGAACAAAGGAAGCTAGAAGACAGCTGGTAAAACGTGTACGCAATGACTGTGAATAGTGGTGGGTAGCGAAGGCAGCAGACAGCTGTTCAGACTAATCAAGGAGACTGGTATTGAGAATGCGACTGCTATCGAAACTATCTCGTAAAAGAATGGGACTATGATTCACTGTCAATCCAGGAGATTGGACGAAAAGGCAGAACATTTTAAGAAGCAGTTTGAGTGGCCTTCGGTCACACTTCATTTATCCACCATCTGCAGTCAACGTGAATGGCATGTTGATGTGAGTCCCCTAACTCTCAATGAGGTTTGCAAAAGCTATAAACAGTGTAAGGTGAGGGAGAGCAACAAGACCTAATGTATTAATCTCTGAGATTTGTAAAGATGTTATTTCAGATTTACCGATTAATTTGAGTGAGACCTTAACTAGAATCTGGGAACTGGAAGTAATCCCATCTGACTGGTCTCAATCGCTGATTGTCGCGGTCTATAAGAAAGGACAAAAGTCCTCTTGTGACCGTCACTGAGAAATAAGATTAGCCGATCGTGTCTAAGATATTCGCTTCAATGATACGTCAACGCCTAACCGGAGCTCATGAATAGAGTACTCGAGAAAACCAGATTGGTTTCAGACCTAAACGTGGATGTATGGACCGACTATTCACACTTTCGAAGGTTCTAGAATATAGACACACAATCATACGTCCCACAGTAGTTGTATTTCCTGACCTGAGTGTGATATCTGACTCTGCTGATAGTGAGCTTCTACGTCATTAAAAGGAGTACCAGAGAAGTACATTAATCGTATACATGCTCTCTCCTCGAACACTCCTGGTCAGTTCATAGCTTATGGTGACCTGTCATCGGAACTGATTACCTCCAGTGGTGTTCTTCAGCGTTGTCATCTCCCTCCATTCTGTCCATTGCTTCCAGGTTTCTGATGGTGGTCTAACAATGATTCTGATTGATGATTTCAAATGTGTAAAAACACTAATCTCCATAACTCTAATTGAAAATATCCCTTAGTTCATTGGAATAATCACCTTTTATTGCATATTTTACTTGATGAAGTAGGTGTGTTACTCTGAAATAAAGTTTTCTATCCGAAAGATGTTAGTACAGTTTAATTTGTTGTTATTACCGCTAGAATTCAGAACACACAGTCGATTTTACACTCTGAATCATCTAATGATTGGACATTTTAAATTTCCATTACTGGTTTTCAATGTCTATACGGTACCAGATGTTGTTGAAGTCTATTTTTCTTTAACAGTTATGAAATGTTTTCTATTATATATATTGTTTTTCTTTACAGTCGCATGAAATGTCCTTATTGTCCTGTGGAAACATTTAAAAATCAAGTATTGGATCTTATATTCTAAAAAAGAAGAAAATCATCTACATCTCTTATATTTGCTTGTATTTGTGTATTATCTATGCTAACACAATTGTATTCATATAATATTATACTACAGAAAGATCAATTCTAGGCAGCAAATAATACCAACCTTATCTATGAACATAAACAAAGCTGTATTGTGATATGATGCTGATGCTATGAAATATTGCGCAAATATTCTCTATTGTATTATAATTGTAATGTAAGCTGTCTTCCTTTTGTGAACTTCCAATCAAAGTGTTTCTCACTTAACTATCCATTATAAGCATAAAATCAATTCAGTGATTCAATCTAATGTGTAGTAGTTACATTCATTTCATTACTTTTTTTTTGTTTTGTTTCAAATCATTTCATTTAGTTTTATATAGATAAGCTGCTGTGTTCAAAGCATTTGCCGTATCATAATTGTGTTGGATACGATGTTTTGTCATTTTAATATATTTGCTTATTGTCATCATTGTTCTTATCTCATCATTATTATTATTATGCTTTTTTTTCACTGAGTCCAATTTATTGTACTATCAAAATACAATTGTTAAAGTACAAATTTATGTAATGACATATATATATATATATATATATATATATATATATATATAATTTTTAAATAGACGGATATACATTATACGCTGGGCATAGTTTTGTTTGGAATTAAAGACCAACTTGCCTAATATATCGTTCGGATATGGAGAACGTGTTTGATCTGGTTTATTGGTGAATTAGTTTTTGTTTTGTTCTAAAAGCAAGATTAACTACATGACTCATTGACCCATCTAATTTTTCGATGATATTAACGTTTAGCAAATTAGTCTTGTCCTTCAATTAAATGTTATTTATCATTATCCGTATAAACATCCTAACTTATGGGAATTAAGTAGGTTGTTCATATCTTTGTTCTTAAACATTTCTAAGCAGAAAAATTTACCTGGAATTATGAATTATCGATTATAGTGTTCAAAGAAACAACTCAGCTTGAAAAAAACGAAATTACAGTTGATTATTATTTAAAATTTTTCTAGCTGTTTTTGATTGATATCTTTCTATACGGATTAATGGCTTCCAGTGCTTTGATTTATTTACATTACTACAGATGACGTTTTAGTAACCGATACACAACAATAATGGAAGACTTGACTATTCTATGGTTGAATAACGACCCAGTACTGACTTTCCCCCATCGAAGAGAAAGAACAAAGGTCAATTACCATCAGTCCAAGATTTTCCTTGTTATTATATTTCAGATAACCAGATTACATCGCACTAATAAATAGAAATGGACAAAACTATACATGAGTAGTCAGTCAAAAGTAGTTGTGAGTAGAGGAAGATTTCAAATAATAAACTAAACAGATTCCATAATCATAAATCATATAGCTATATTTAATGAGTTAGTTATTCAAGAGCTCAGGATACAGGAAGTATACATAGTTAATAATCTAGTTACTTAGTATACAACTTACTGTGTACAACAATAATTCATAAACTGGGTTCTTAAGTTTCTATTGACTTTAATCTGCATCCCAATGTAACAACTTCCGCATAACATGTTGTTTGGTAATATATAATCAGAAGTTCAAATGCATAGTACTCTTAATCTTACTAAGTAATTAAAATTACGTAGGCCTCTCATATAGTTTAATCCGTATGCATAACATTTACCACAAACAAACGAATTACATTGCTGGTGTTCAAGTTACATTGTCCTAGCTAAATATAAATAGCAAATATAATAAACACTTTCTAACCATTGATTAATGCAACTGGTACCACAAGTTATTGAAAACATTTATGACACTATCGACAAGGTCTAATAAGTTCCGTCATAATTCGAGTTTTCAGAACGAATGGTTTTATCTGGAACTTTCATCTAGGATGTTAAACCTTTATAAAATGTATTCTTCTCTAAATTATATATAAGTATTAGTGTGGTTGTGTTTATTAACAGTGAAGTAAATACATAAATCCAAAAATATTGAACGCATTATCATTATTAGTTTTTGAATTTGGTTATTAGTTGACCACAACCTGTGACTTTTGTGGTTTCCGTCTAAGCTATTTTTTGTAACTTTGGTGATAGTAGAAAACCCTGTTCTAAGTTGAGAACAACATAGTTTCCAGATTCTCAATAAAAACTATTAGTTTTGTGTTTATATGTATTTTTCTATCGTACTCTCTATTGACTATGAATACGTGGGTTTCGATTATACAAACTGTCGTATGTTCACATGATCTAGATATCCTAAGCTATTGTGAAACATTTTGAGTCTTTTGATGGTTCCTTAAATGAGATAAGTTTATGATGAAAACTGTTGAGCTTACAACGTATTGATTCGCTTCCTCACTCAGTAAATTTACTTTTATCATGTTCAAAACATCATATCTAATTATTCAGTGATGCTGTTTGTTTTTTCAACTTCCTAACGTTAACATTAAAAAAAGGCTGTTTTAGGCTACGAAACCTCTAGTTCTATCATAGATGGAAATAAAAAGAAATGCTAAACATATGATTGTTGCTATCTGCATGTCGAAAATCATGTCCCGACAGCATGAGTACAACAAAATTCTCACATTACTTTTTTGCTATAGAATCAGTTGAAGGTAATACAAGTAAATACCTAGGCTAATATATAAAACGTGCATTTTGTGTCAATATTAAACGATTGAGTTCACAAAGAATTCTATTTCTTAAAAAAGCTCATTTTTGAGAATTGTCTAAATGCACATGTTTTGATCGATCTATCAAAATATTCATTAAATTACCCTGTTAAATAAAACAAGAATTCTAGTTTTGTACATTATTATTCAAAAAATGTAATATATATATATATATATATATATGTATTGAGATGCCTAGATTAATAGAAGTGATGTACTTTAATTTGACCTGGTAATTTATTTTGTAATCTTAGGCGTAAACTATATTTATTAATCAATGTAAAAACCTTCATATTACTTGGGTAAATCAGTAACTATGACGCTGATTAAAAATGTTTCTCTGGTATTCAACTGTTAGGTTTTATTTTAGCTACACACTCCCATCTTATCGATAAAAAATCGTCCACATTAGATCGGGTTATACTGATTTCGGATATAACTGAACGTCATCAAATGTCGATGATTATTTTTTTTAGAAATATTCTGTTACCAATATTTCAAATATTAGTGAAATTTAACTTACAGTAAATTCTAGTAATGTTTCCACGCTTTGGAATAACGTGATCTCTGTTTTTTTTAGAATGGTTTATGTCTAGACTTAAGATCCAGGACTCGCGTGCCATTCTTTCTGTGACTAATCAGTTTAATGTATTTCCATCTCAGTTTCGATGTTTACATCAAAATTTACACTACGTAGTTTTCATTTCAAACTTTCAATGTGTTATCCACTGAGCTCCTGAGTCCCACTGATCACTAATTCGGGCAGCAGGTGTGAATTTAATTTGTGAAGATTTGGATTATCCCGTTGCCGATGTGCTTGATTGAATTATCATTAGACTTGATATATTTATATCTTGTGCAGATTGTCGAGATACAAGCATTTCGCCTCACGTTTTAGATTTCCCGTTATTTCAATATTAACTATAAGTGAATGACTGAGAACTTACTGTATTTTGTGAAAGCCATTGCGATCAGCAGGCCTAAACTGAACTTATTCATTTGAAATATATTGCTGTCAGTCTTGCACTGGCCTAATGATTTCAACATCCATCACTTAGTTACGTACTATCTCGTTCCACATTTTTAATTATAAATTCCCTTTCTTCACTCTCTTAAGTCTCTTCTATGTTTTACTCTATTTTCATAGTCGTTCTTGCGAATTTTTTGAAAAAAAGTTTTCAGTTACTTACTTTTATACTCTTCAAAACTTTTTCTTCTAGAATATTTACGTTGCTTAACATATTATAAATGTTGAATGATCTCTTACAATTCATCCGCACTTGATGTTCTTTTTACCAATCTTCATTAATGAATACATTTCTCAATATTATGGTAAAATGAGTATTTATTTCTCTTAAACACTTGATACTACTATTATTTGACAAGATGTAAGCGACTGAAAAGAACCTACGAAATAAGTGAATATGATTTGTTATGCTAAGTTTATTGCCCTTTCTGTATTCACATTTAAACCATTGATTCTACTTAATAGAATATTGAAAAAGAAATTTATTCAGAATGATTTTGTACTTTCTGTACTATAAAATGTTGATCGTCGATAAAATCTGCAGAAAAAAAAGTTAACATCTGACTTCCTTGTTTCAGTCAAATATTTCCATCCCTCGATTTTCGAATCAGTTTCAAATCATGTGTTATTTATTTCTGAAAAATATTTATCAATAAAGTTCTAGACTATTGTAAAATTCGACATTTTTATTTTCTACCATGTAAATTTTCAAGTGGGGATGGTGATCGGTGTATAGTGAAAATCGCTTCTCATTCGAATATAATGTTGAGATTAGTGTAAACAGTGAATTTTATGCATTCTTCGGACAGATATCTTAGAATTCTAATGCTCTAGATTTTTAACGTCAACTTATTATTAAAGTGCATTTGAGTTTGCTATACACGCTAACTGATGATATTTCGAGTATTTGTATTTAGTTAGAAACCTACTAGAAAATGAGGGATCTTTATGGCTGAAGTTGTATTTCATTCCATGAACCGAGTATTTTACTTGTATTTTTAAATAAAACACTAGAACGCACGTCCTTATGACCTACATTTTGTTCTTTTTCTTGAATCATATATGCTCAGCGTTTATTCGTACCGGATTATTAGTATTTTCAATATATTTTTTACCGATCGTTCTCTGCACTTCTGTTCGATTAAATAATATTTTATCGAACCGACCACTCAGTGAAAATCAGTTTGGTTGTTTTGTGTGCCAATGTGTTGAGCTGAGGGCTTGACTTAACTTTCGGACAATTTGTTTGGCCTTTTTCTGCCTGAATTATTATTCACTCGTTTTTTGACCTTGTCAACGATTCGCTCTTATCTTGGTTGTTTTTATTCGAGTTTGTGTGTGTATGCTTACTTCCCTTATTTCATGTTTGGCTTATTTTTGTGTGATTAGAAATACTTAGTCATGCTTCTTCGCACTGAATTAGCTCGCTCACTTTCTCCCTTTCATTGCGCTCTACCTTTGCACCTCGTATTCTTTTATCTGTCTGCGCGAATGATTGCATGAAATAAATTCACCTGCAAAAGCTTATTCGACTTCACATTACCGCTGTCACGCAAACGGAGTTCGACTAAGTATGAAATAGAAAAATGGAAGAAAAGATTTATTTCATCGCATACTCGACAGTCGGCCCCAAAAAAGAGGTATATCATGTGCCACTAAAGGGTACTCAATCTCTCAGATTACCCCAACTCAGGTCTCGCATGGTCGAAAAATGAAAATTTCGGAAATGCGAAAAAATCATTACCCGACATGAGACAAAGGGTAATAGAAGTGTTTCTGCCTATTCGCATCAAGCTGGGCTGCCTCTTCTACCATCCTACGCTATATATGTGTATACCATACGCTGTGCTGCTACATAGAGCTGAAGGTTTCCTATGAGACCAGAGGTTCGCTGTAAACA